TATGATGTTTTTATATCTTTCCTTCCTCTTAAAGATATGGAGAAGTCTGCATAAAAAATATGTTATCATATTCCGCAACACTCAGATAACTATTACAAACTTTTATTTCACTTCCAGTGTAAGAATCGTTCGAAAATACATTATAGCCTAGGGGGAAAGGAAATTGAGAAGTTTATATTCAGGTTTTTGATAAAATATGTCCACAGCTATGAATACGAAAAGAAGAACCATGAGTATATATATAGTATACGGAAACTATATTTGTCCCGCATGTAGGAAAAATTATGTATTGTTTGAACGTTTCATAACAAAAATCCATATGTTGAAATACAATGAACCTATATCATGCATCGGTTTTCACATTATCTTTATCAAATTGCGAAATCGAGTGCAAATTTCCGCACAGGAAAGTGCAATTTTTCAATCATCTTGTTCAGGATAGTGATTGGCACAGTTACCATTCGATAAATCACAATTGTTTTACATTTCATTGAAATATATATCATTTCGTTATCAGATTTTTTTTTTATTTATTTATTGAAGTCATATAGGATAACAACAGGCATAACCCAAAGTGTTTGTTATCCACGGATACAGTTGAGCGTACAGAAAAAAATTATACAGATTACAATTTTCGCTTAACCTAACACTACTTCAAGAAACATTTGATGTTAGCTATGAAATTAAGTATTTCTCTCTTATTTTCGATTTGAATACAAGTAGTGAATGATTGAATAACTCAATATCATCGAACTTATCATTGTAAAGTGTCACCATTCTATGTAGGGGAGAGTTTTTTCCTAAGTTTGTTCTGCAAAACGTTTCAGAGAAGAGACGAGTATTCCTCAGAGAACGAGTTGGAACATTGAGATATATATTATTTGATAAAATTTCAGGGGAGTCGATTAAGTCATTCATAATTTTGAATGAAAATATTATGTCGGATTGCTCTCGACGAGCCTCTAGTGAGTCTAGTGTGACCATATGAAATTTGTTTCTCAGGAAGGCTGTACTAGTTGTAATGTTATGTTCCCCACTATTTCTATATTCAAGATATCTTAAAAATTTATTCTGTATGATTTCCAATCTAGTCTTGTATATAGCGTATTGTGGTCGCCAGATAACATTTGCAAAATTCAGATGACGGTCCAAATTTGCAGTCTGCTCTTGGACTAAAACACAATATTTAGGGGGTCAAAAATTGTGCAATCAGAATATGGATACAAACCTGAGAAATCGAAAACTTTGATACCTCAGCGAATGGAAGAGTTTTTATCTTCTACGTTCTAATTCACAAAGGTTAGTAAGCGAGCCATTTTAAAATATATCCTATGGACTGGACTAGACACATCTACGACCAATATCACTTATACGTGTCTCGTTGATGTCATGCAGTTTCATAGTATATTGTATTATGTTCGCAATTCCCATTCACTTCGAATTATTTTGTAGGTTAGCAGGTTGGTTGATCGTTAATCTAATTTTCGGAATTATGGGGTTTTGTCGAAGAGAGGAATTATTAGTTCGTAGAAAAAGTATAGTATGTAACTCGTTTATAAACTATTCTAGACACTCGTTTTTAAACACTCGCTCTGCTCTTCTCTGCTGCGCTCGTGCTCAAAATACTCGCTATTAAAAGGAATACTATTCCAATATACAATCCAAATCCGATTGAATTTTCATGAAGCCTGAAGCAAAATAATAATAATCGTTTATACGAGATTAGCACATTCACTCCATAACAAATTGCAAAGAAATGAGTGTATATCTACTGGACTATTTGTTCGATTTCGATGTTCGAGTACTCATTCTATTCAGAAATGAATAGCCTAAGATGACATCGGTACAGGTTGGAAAAAATCTGATTTTCTTTTTCTCCAGCGGTTTTTGTAAATGACAATACTTTGGTAGAATCTGCCATTTTGTTTTTGTTCATTATGAAATTTTCAAATATTCCACTGTATACTATAGCCCTTTAGCTATGAAACGACGCCAAGAAATTCGAATTCGGTTGAGAAATGATGAAACCACGAGGAAAATAAAAACTTCCGGTTTTTTTGTGACCATCACCCATGAAATTTAGTGTTGAAATGTAGAACATCAAAATCAAAAATTGACGTGTTTCAGATATTTTTGAAGGCTTTTAGTTTAGGAAATATCGAATTTGTTCCATACTTTACGGACACAGTGTATGGCGGGAATGTATGGTATTATATTTAACATACAGACAGAACTTCTTTTCAGTTCGGTCATCTATAAAATCGTGTTTTTTTAGTTTTTCGAACTATACCATTTATTTTTCAGTGAACCCAGATAACACATGGACATCCAGTGGATATCCATCGGACATCCATTATGGATAATCTGGATATACTATGGACGTCCAGTTTATATCCTATGGACGTCCAATGGATGTTCGGAGGGTACCAACCTGGACATCCATAAGATATCCTTCAAGGATATCCATAAGATGTCCTTCAAGGATAGTCATGAGATATCTTTCAAGGATATCCATAAGATATCCGTTCAAGATATCATTGAAGGATATCTATAATTATTCCTTCAAGGATATCCATAATGTATCCAAGCTCAGTTTTGGAATCTATTATAAATAAGTGAAGAATATATTTTCTTTCTCTTTTTCCTTATGTCTATGCATGGGGATTTCGATAATAGTAAGAGATAGAGGGTTGGTTAAATGGGGGCAAAGTAGCGTCAATATGAAACATGACTCTTGGCATTCAAAAAAATGCAATAAAAAATACAGGTCCGTATTTGAAAATTGAAAGTTGAGGGTGGCCCAATTTATACGATACCCTGTATATAATTTTTATTCAGATATTTGGAAACGGTACAAAAAGTTGCTATGACAAAGTGGCAAAATTTAAAAAAAATCTTCGTAAAATAAAAAGATATAGGCAAAAGAAGAATTTCGAGATTTTTTATTTTTCCTGTATAAGTCCAGAACTGAAGAAGCTAGGTCAGATTTTGTTGTTGTGAATATCTTATGGATATCCATAAGATATCTACTGAAGGATATCCATCTCAAATCTTTCCATGGATATCTTATGGATGTCCATTTCAAATCCCGAAACAAAACGAAAAATACGGGTATTCCTCAAATGCTTCAATTCGTGTACGAGTATGGAAAAAACTCAGAAATTGATGCTATCAGAATCAAATTTGCATTTTAAACACATTCATAATTGTTGTGGATATCTTATGGATATCCATAGGAAATCTACTGAAGGATATCTGTTTCGAATCCTTATATGGATATCTTATGGATGTCCATTTCAAATCCAGGGATATCCCGACCAGAATTGGACATGAAATGGATATCCATAGTATATCCTGTGTTATCTGGGAATTGATTTTTCGAGCTAAGAAGTGCACTTTGGAACACAGTCAAGCCCTTGTACTTCACATTATTCTTCCACTCAATTTGTTCACAAACCAAACTCACCCTCTCTCCCACAACATTCTTATTTGTTGAGCATTCGACATTGTAGCCGCTTTGTACCGAACCTATAGAGGGTTATGGTGTTTGCACGAATTAGCAGTGTTACCGAATGTAAGTGGAGGGTGATTCCAGGCCAATTATCCTTTAATTTCAATGTGATTGGCACGTGCTATGAGAAGAGATTTCGTAGGGATAATTACAAGGCAGATGGTCAGTTAGTTTCGGCATTGAAAGTTTTGTACATACGTTGATTGAGGTCCTTTTTACATTTCCATACAATTTAGAATAGAGTGAGATTCTTTAGTAGTATAACTTGGTATATAGTTTTTGGATGTATGACAAACTGATATTCACCATACAGGACGTGGTAAGAAATTTTGAAAGATAATAATAACAAGTTTCCATCGTTCAAGTTTGAACCCCTTGATCAGCAAGGAACGTTTTTGTTTTATGTTCAATATTCAGAATGAGAGAATTTGTAAAAGGTGGTTTTTTATTTTTTCTACAAGCGTGCGTGATTCACCCTATACCCGCACGTGATTTAGTTTGGGAAGTGTCATTTTCCCGCATCAGGAAAATTTTTTCCACACTAGTGCGGAAAAAACAAAGATATGATAATATCGCAAAATATAAGTGGTTGGCGATGGAATATGAAAGTTTAAGTTGGTTTGTTGCAGTATTAAGTATGTTTGTTCAGACCCATCCATCAAATTGCACCATTTATTGTGAAAATTAAGTAAAATTTAAAAATAAAAATTGATTATTATAAAAATCCCCCTATAGATTTGTATTGATCTGATGGGAAACGATTATTGTTGTCATGCCAATCAAACCTCAAATGAGTTTGTAATTGTCGAAGTGACAGACACATCGTTACTGTCCTCTTCGATTCAGTGGAATTGTCACAATGTGATCAAAAACTTCCAGCTATAGGAATGCGATACAGATGCGTTAGTGCCAACGAAGTCTTAAGAAAGGTATGAGAAGATATACACGCGTTTTATTGAAAGGTGCAACAATAAAGAAATGAAAATACCGAATATAAAAAGAAGTATTTTTGGCTCATTTCCTAGACGTGTCTGAATCCTAGAGACCAAACACCTTATGGGCCTGATGGCTTCCGCAATTAACCTACATAATGCGTCAAACTGTAAGTTCCCTATAGCTATTACTAATAATTATTAGATAGAAAATATATTTCTCATGTTAGTTGTTCCTATTTGCATGAATAGTGAATTGAACAAATCAAACAATTCCCTACGCTTGTAGAAAAAATATTGTTCCTAACTCATGCGGAAAGTGTCTTTCCCGCACTCGACTGCTTGCCCGAACTCCGCTTCGCGTCGTTCCTGTCAACGGCAGTCGCGTGCGGGAAAGAATAACTTTCCGCACTTGTTAGGAAAATTACTTTATCAAACTTGGCGAAAAATAAAGGTGCACGATTATTTGTATCTGAATCTGAAATACCCTGTATAATAATCATGATATTAATCAATTCGGGTTGCGAAGAAGTATGATGAAAACGCAATTCAACATGGATTATAGTAAAAAGTATATTAACAGTAATAATTAAAAATCGAATTGATAAAAACAATAATACATAACTCAACAATTTTTGCTCAAGACTTCTGAAATAGTTGCGAGACTTGGCCTGTTTGATGGCTCACTGTTCCAACATGCTTGATACAATTTGGATAACTCATTTTTTGGCTCAATCATATCGGGCCTAAGTTTACATTTAACCACCTGAAAGACATAGATAAAATATTGTAGCAGTTGGCACTGGTAGGTTATTTTATCTTCACCATGTATATCACGGTGTCAATGTTATCGATCTCACTGTAAGGGTTCCTTCTTTCTAGTATTTGCCATAACAGAACTCCAAATGAATAAATGTCACTTTCTTCACTAGGGAGTTTGCCCAGCAATATCTCAGGTGCGGTATAGTGAATGGTTCCCTGAAATATGGAGAATCAAAAATATCTCAGTAGTCTACAAAAATGACTTTTAGTTTTTTGGGAACTATTTTGGTTTATGAATGAACTGTTCAACACTCGAAATGTAATCCATCATTCATTAAAATGAAAAAAGGTACTGTATAGACACGCAAAACATCATACCGTACTTCATAGGAATCGTAATTCATCATAATCGTATTCCATCATAATGATATTTTATCAGAATCGTATTCTGACGGAACGGTGGTTCAACAAAACCGTATTGTATGGAAGAAACAATTCATCACAATAGTTTTTTGTCAGAACGGTAATCTATTATTAGGTACCAATAATCAAGAGGATACTGAATATTCAGAACTGTAATTTCCCGTATTTTGTCAGAACTGTATTCTGTCGGGACAATAAAAAATCACAATCGTATTTCGTTTCAACGAATCGCGACGAATTACGGTTCTGATAGATTATTGTCTCGATGAAACAAGTTCCTATACAATGAGGTTATGACGAAATACGTTTCTGATGATTTACTGTTGCTATGATATAAGGTTCTGTTGGAATACCGTTCCTATATAATACGATTCTGATAGAATACCCTCTTGACAAAATAATGCTATGATGAATTACCGTCATGATGGAATACGGTTCTGATTAATTACTGTTGTGATCGAATACGGTTCTTATTCAATACCATTCTGATGGATTACATTTCGACAACTTACGTTTTGTTATTATACATTCCTACAAATAATGGTTCTATGTTTCATATTCCTATGATACACGTGCCTACAGAATACAGTTCCTGTCATTTACGTTTCCTATGAATTACCATTCTGATGAAATATATATGCTTCATATTCTGACGTTTTAGGTGTCGCCAATCAAAACCTATCGAAAAATGTCGATTCCACGTTTCTAGTGATGAGCAGTTTATATTAACTTCAATATGTAAGATTTACTTGGTGTATGAATGGGATCTCAATTTCTGAAACCTTCATAGAATTTCCGAAATCACAAATTTTGCAGACGCTTCCGCATACCAGTACGTTTCTCGGTTTCACATCCAAATGCAAAATGCCCCTGGAATGACAATGAGAAAGTCCTTCGCAGATGTCTTTGGCATACTGTAAAACAACATTTTCACCCAAATCCTCTCCCGCACTAGATAGTTTTTCCTCGAGGTTTTCGCAGAATGGAAAATATTCCATGATGATTATCGCGAAAGTTTCCATCTGGTTTTCGGTGACGTCCAGCGTTTTCACAATATTGGAGTGACTGAGATCGAGAGCATTTTTTTCTCGTAGGGTGAATTGGGATCTTTTGATTATCTTTATCGCCACTGTTTTTCCTGAAAAAACTCACAAATTTATTTGTATAGCGTACTGAAGAGCCATTTTTCCGCACTAGTGCGGAAACCATTTTCAACACTAAAATGAGCGAGGAGAAGAGGAATTTGAGTTCTTACCGCACGCTAGTAAAAAAAATAATGTAGGGTAAAATACGGATAGATGCCGCACTTTTTGTAAAAAAAATATAAAAACTCGAGTAACAAAAAATATGTATTTCAAAAAACATACGATCATTCTTTCATCTATTTTTCATTGAAATATTGGTCCTAAAACAACAAAAAAGAAACTCTACTACTAAAAAAAAATAACGAAAAAAAAAGGGTTTTCTGGCAACTCTCCCCCCCAGGTACGGAGAGATGCCTACAGCCATGCGGAGAGATGCCCAATGTTAATTCCCATAAGGGAGAGATGCCGCAATTTATTGTTGTAGTTCTGCACGTTTGCATGGGTTGCATCTTATGCAGAATATCCAATCTACTCTCTTGGAGGTTTTACTGTGATCCTCAAAACATTACACGCAAAAAAATTGTTTGTCAGTATCTTGCTTGGCTGATTCAGGATTTTGGTTTTCCTTCAAATCGGATAAGGGAATCTCATCTTCGCTGTCGGATGTGAAGTTATTCGATGTTCTATGATCGGTAAAATATAAAATTATGCTATTTTATTATTGAAACTTTTGTGGCATCTATCCGTATCAAAAAGTGCGGCATCTCTCCTTTTTGATACGGATAGATGCCTCACCAGCCTACGCCTGCGCCTTATGACTCTGTAGCCGAGAATACAAATCAAAATCTTGAATATGCCCTATATAACGCTATGAAAGTCAAATCATCCCATTTTGTTATTTTAAACTCACTTCCCCAATACTATTAACAACATACAAATAAATATTAAGCAATAAAAGTACATCTTAGCAACTTTATTCCCACAATTCAAGTTAAACACTTGCTCAATCGAAGCATGCACCGCATGCAAAACAATAATGGCTGAATAGCTCTTCCATCCCGCCGAGAGTTGTTGTCAGGTGTACATAGTTTTCGCGTCACGTGGTCTGCGGCATCTATCCCCCCGCGGCAACTATCCGTACTTTACCCTATCTAACAAGTACGGAAAGTGATATTTTTCCACACGCGATTGCATATGGTCGAACAATGCAGGTGTCAGGATAGTAAATAATAGAAATAAAGAATTGAAAAATAAAAATTCAAATGAAGGATGGAAGGAAGGAAGCAAGCTAAAGCCAATTTATTTTATGTTCCACGGAAGGTAGTGGGAATAAATTGATAGGTTTAAAGGTTTAAACGCTTACTTTCGATGTAGTTAGTAGATAAAATATCATATTGTTTCTGCATAATATGGATGTAAGTTTATATTATACCTTTATGAACTGCTCTGACGACTTTACCGAAACCTCCTTTGCCCAAAATATTCAGAAATCTATCATCTTCTACACCATTTCTGATAATATCATATTTATTCGGAGTGTTGATCAAGATATCTTTCTTTCTTGTACTCGCTTTGATACCTTTATCAAAGTCTGTTACATTTATCTTGACATGATCACTGAGTAATCGATTTTCCTTGAAAGTCGAGAAATCTAATTTTTTCACCGCAGAATTCGATCTACAAAAAATACCGAGTGTCCCCTAGAAATATTCTAGATATTTCATAATGTTTTGTGTAGATAATCTGATATTTGTTCAACTATTATATCTTGGAAAATGAGGAAGATATTTCGAAATAATATGCCTCAGTCTAGAGTGGAACACTTTTTTTTATATTTTCCGAAAAACTTACTTCTGATTTATTGGTGATACAAGTCTATTTCCCACAATTTTTCTATCCGATTTTGAAACCAGCAAAAATCTTGAAGAATGCGGAGATAACACTTGGGGCGATAAAACTTTTGGGGATAAAAATGCGGATAATTGTTTTAAAGGGGTTCCCATTTCAAATTATTATTCTAGCAGTCTCAATCACTACCAATATGGAATAATAAAATAGGAATTGTAATTGACGAAAATGAGCACAAAAACTTGTATAGTAAAAAAATTGCTTGTGTCTCACAGACTTTTTTCTTTCACCTGATCCCATGAGCGCACTTCACTATATTTGAGAGGGGACTTCAGAAGAGCTAGTTCCCCTCGTTGAGAAGAGATAATCCCAGAAATGTATAGAAATGCACATTTCACCTCCTCGATCAACTCATAGAAAATATACTCCAGTTTTTTTTTTAATAATATATTTTCATAAAAAAATACCATCTAGACATACATAAAATAACAATGAAATATTGAAATGATCATATCACTTGAAATTACACAATTTATACTATAATAAGTTAATGAATAATATAAATATCTATATACAATATGTTGACTAGTATATTATCAATTTTGTATCTCTATTTTGTAATGATATATCAATATTACTACATTTGGGCAGACGAATTGAATGAAGAAACTCTGACTTGTAAGTTGAGAATATTTGTATTACAATAAAATTATAGGAGTATATCAGTTTTAGAAGCTACGAAAATGCAAAATTCGCTTGTCAAACAAAGTGTCACTTTTGATCCTAATAAAACAATCTACTTTTATATTTCTCAGTTGGCCCGAGTATAACAAGTATATACAGGGTGTCCCTGGACCAGTGGGACAGTTGAATATCTCCTGAACCAATAGGAATTTTCAAAATATTATAATTTCACATCATATCGCATCATGAGTGCTAACTTCAAGAATGACTATATTTTATACGTGGGGCGCAAGAAAGGCTCACAAAATTGATGTTCGATTTTGTGAGCCTTTCTTGCGCCCCTCGTATAAAATATAGTCATTCCTGAAGTTAGCACTCATAATGCGATATGATGTGAAATTATAATATTCCGAAAATTCCTATTGGTTCAGGAGATATTCGACTGTCCACTGGTCTAGAGACACCCTGTATATTACTTCTTGCAATTTTGACATGTAATTCGACACTTTTCAAAACTATGACGGAAGTTTTGAAACGTTTACGTTAGGGAATGAACAAATGGATGGACGAAAAGAATAAATAGTACATTTGTGCTGGTTTATCGATATTATGTGGTAAATCTGAATCTCCAATGATTTAAATATCAAATAAATCTATTTGTCCCTAATTTGTCACCGTATCATTGTTTGACAGATACTTCAAAGTGACAGGCCTTGCCAACTTGCCTACATAATCAGTACAACTCATGCAGAACCATTATTCTTGTTCAAGCGAAATTTTTCATTACAACATTTTAAAAAGATTTACATAACTAGTTAGGAAACGCTTCGCACGTTCGATGCTTTTCATAACTGGTTATACGTAAATATATCTATTATAAGGTACATTTGCTATCTACACTTTATTTGGTCAAATATAAAGTAATATAAACGTTAAACAATGTGATGATGAGACTCCTTGAATTAAATTACATCGCATATCACTCATTTGAAATATACAGGATGGTCCAACGAAAACTGTACACCCTCCGGCTTCATTCTCTTCTGACCGATGGCATTAAATTAGGAAGGATAATATCATAGATGAAACACACCCATCATTGAATGTAGCCGATATTGATTCATTGATTCAATGATATTTTCGTTTAGGATCTAAACCTTTTCAACTTCAATTTCGGAATCGGTGAGTTATATTTCGGAAAAAGTAATCTCGATTTCAGAAATGGTAAACTCAATTTCAGAATCGGTGAGATGAATTTCAGAAAAAGTCCATTCAATTTCAGAAATGGTAAGTTGTTTTTCAGAATTGGTAGGTCCAATATCATAAAAAAAATCCTTATATTTGTTCGAAATGTTTCCAATTGCATGTGAGATTAACAAACCATATTCAAAATATTCAACTTTTCAAAAACAATTTAATCCACAGATGCCTTCCATCTGAATCGCTGGAAGATAGTGGCGTTGCACATGATTATAAGAATGCAAACACATTTGAGGTGTTATCATGTTCATTGAATGATCTGCACATTCTTCAAGACATCGCAGTCTGTTCGGATCTCCAGCTATGACCCTTTGGCGATGCTCTTGCAAGAAGCTCTTCACTTCTGACTTGAAGGCACCCCATATATTATGTTCAATCTGAATCAACATAGGGCTCTCAAACACCGTTCCATCCACTGTAAACAGTCTTCTCTTTTGCACTTAAAAACATTCCAAACATATAAAAGGATCTCATCTTCTGAAATTGAACCTACCAATAACAATTCTGAAATACAACTTACCATTTCTGAAATTGAATGGACTTTTTCTGAAATTCATCTCACCGATTCTGAAATTGAGTTTACCATTTCTGAAATCGAACTAACCAATTCTGAAATCGAGATTACTTTTTCCGAAATTGAAGTTGAAAAGGTATAGCTCTATTCAAGATATTTCAATGCATAAATAACAAAACTGTAACCTGTCAGAATGAAGCCAACTACCTTCTGCATTCCTGCTCCGAGTGCATTTGTGGTTATGTATGTTTTTGTTCACCAGATTTACTTCTTTTTCTATTTTTCCATTCGTTTTTCATTTGTTAGCTATTCGTTAGCTATATTCTTCACCATCAGCTATATTCAGAGTAAATTCAGAATGTACGTCACAGTTTGCTGCCCCGAAAATTCGAAATTGCTTCAATTTGAAAATGAAAACGACTTGGACTTTATCGGTCGCCATTCTGTACAGCGTGGACATGAAACTGGAGAGTTCCGAACTTATTTTAAGAAAATACATCTGAAGGAAACCCCCATTCTACGCAGCCATTCTCTAACAAAATCCCATCGGATGAATTCACCACGAACAACTTCGATAAAGTATATCTCTAATCGCGAAACATATCCTACAATTGGCAACCGTGTACGTATGTGACGTTGTGGAAGATCGCAGCCGCAGCTGAGCTGAGAAAGCTGCACGGCGACTGCCCCCCGTATCTCTGAATGGGGGGACAGCACGGCGGGGGTTCCCCCCCGGAACTTTTTCTCAGGCCTCCCGCGTTCAGCAGGTCTTTCTCCACGGACGCCTGATGGCGCAGCTGCTCTAGGCGAAGCTGATTCTGCCGTTTCCATTTGGTCCTGGAAAAAACATACAGGGTGGAGACTGTAACTGAGATGAATTTGTTAGCGGGGAAGTGAATGATTTTACTTAAATGTTTCAATGTATTTTAGCTACATTTTGAAAGCAATATGAAGAATATAGCTCTTCAGGGGTAGCTGGAATAGCTGGAATTAGCCTTATATTCTTTTCAAATGCAACCAGGACCTTCTGGATGATCTGAAAATTTTTAATACTGTTATTTGAAGCGACTTAGTAGTTTTCTGAATAAATATAACATGATCTCTGATTTCCAGCATGGTTTCAGAAATCACTTCTCTACCAATACGGCAGTAACATCATTTTATAATATCCTCGATAATATCATCTCTAATTTCGTGGAGCATAACCCTGTTGGCATCTTCTTAATTATAGAAATGAGAGAGAAAATACAAATGTCTCATCATCACTTGCGGATATTAACATGGGGGTGCCGCAAGGATCTATATTGGGCCCTATGTTGTTTATCATATATATAAATAAAATAAGTGCCATATCACCCAATTCCAATTTTATATTATATTTTATGTTGATGATGTATCTCTAATAAATATCAGATGAAAGTGATGACAATATTGCTGCCGAGAATAGTGTAGTACGAGACTCTTTCAGTACCTGGTTTTCTTCCAATAATCTTTACCTCAATCCAACTGAAACTAATTTGGTGAGATTTCATACATGGCAAAAAAGTGTAGGACCTATGAATCTGCTCGGTAATAACACGCAAATCTTGAAAAAAAAAACACATCTTTATGTGTCTCTATGGATGAATGTCTCAACTGGAGATCTCAATGCTCGGATCTTGTCTCAAAATTATCTTCTCTTACATTTCTATTGAGAAATATAAGATTCTTATTGGATTAACAACAACTTTTGAACTTTTACTTTGCTCAAGTAGACTCTCGACGTGTTGGTAGCACAAAAGAGGATATTACGATGTATGTTTTATATGCCCAGGAGAACTTCTTGTAGACCGATTTTCAAGGAATGCAAAATTCTAACTGTCACTGGTATTTATATATTGACAGTCATATGCCCGAGATCACCTTTCGCCAACGTACTATAAGGAAGATTTTATTGAGTCTCAACACCAACAAAGCTTGTGGCTCCGACGGAAACTCACCGATTGTTCTCAACAAATGTGCTCCCGAACTTACATATATTCTCTGCAAGTTGTTCAACTACTCTTACAAATTGGGGATATTCCCGTCCAACTGGAAAAATGCGAGAGTACACCCAGTTCCTAAAAAAGGCAAAAATACCTTATCTAGCAACTACAGACCGATCGCACTGCTATCTATTATTTCAAAGATCATGGAGAAAGCTATCAACATCGAGCTCGATATGCAATATGGCTTCCGTCATCAGAGATCAACTGGTGACCTGCTCGCTTACGTCTCACATATATGGCAGCAATCTATTGAAAAATATGGTGAAACCTTAGCCGTGGCATTCGATCGAGTCTGGCACCACAGACTCCTTGCCAAGCTTCCATCTCATGGCTTGCCTCCCCAGCTATTTTCTCTGCTAGCTAGTTTTCTCTCAAACAGGTCTCTCCATGTAGTAGTCGACGGAGTTTCATCTGACTCTCTTATCATGAATGCTGGTGTTCCGCAAGGATCAATTCTAGCACCAACACTATTTCTACTCCATATCAACGATTTGTTGGAAGCAAATTCATGTCCAGTACACAGCTTCGCGGATGATGGTACCCTCCATACCGCCTTCTCTTCCAGGGCTCCAATATCATCGAGACAAATCAGAAACGAACGAGGGAGAAATGTTGACAACATAAATATGGACTTGGCAACAATTCTCGAATGGGGATCCAATAACTTGGTAGATTTCAATGCAAACAAAACACAAGCATGCCTTTTCTCTAGAAATGCCGATC